AATTTATATTCACAAAATTACATGTAACATTAACATTTACATATTAAAATAGAATTAAAAATTAATACGACGCGATTTTATGAAAGCAAATTGTTCAATCGCTTCTTGAATACTTAACGAATCAGCAATGCTACTTTCTATTGCAATATTTGAAACATTACTGTGATGTTTTTGTGTCATGGATGTCCTCAGGTAATTTTTTAATTATTTTCAGTTTTGAGAAACTTTGCTCTCCTGAAGCAACGGAAACTGGAATTGTTAGAAAAAGTTTTAAACTCGTGGCGACATTTGGAAAATACGTCTCCAAGTTGTAATTATATAAAAAAAATTAGAAGTTCTTTGGGCTGCTTTTTGTCTTTTACAATTATTTTAAAAGAAATTATTTCTTCATTTAAAAAAAGTTTTCGTGAACAGATTTTTAAGAGGGAAAATATTACTAGGGCCAATTTTTTTGATTGATGATTTCATTTACATCAAAACATAATATATATATATATATATATATATATATATATATATATATATATATATATATATATATATATATATATATATATATATATATATATATACATATATATATATATATATACATATATATACATAGATAGATAATCAATCAGTTTCAAAAAATCTTGAACTTGCATCGGAATTGAGAATAATTCTGTTAAAGTGTCTTCCCAATAATTTGTGTTTTCACAAGACAAACAGTTGTACAAATCCGTACAAGTCAATCCATGCGATTGACAAAGATAAACCTGTGTTTCACATTTTGACTTTTTACACGCAAAGGAAATTAACTGCAAAACATCTTCTGGAGCAGGTAGAATAAGTACCCATTCAACTTCAAGTTGATCGCCAATTTCTTGCCATCCAAATCCATAGGGTTTCGTAATATCGGGAATTACTTCTAGTGATCGTTTGACAATTGTTATAAATGCAAAGCTCTAATGCAATGACACATAAGAGCGTCCCTAGTAGGTGTTTGTATTTATTATTTTACTTTTCTATTTAGTCAAAATGAGTTACATGGTTAAATAGGTTTTTGTGTGACTAAGGTTTTGTAACTGAATGACAATACTATTTGAAACGTGCATAGAGGTTCCGTTTAAAATTCCGTGGTTTTTGTCGATATTATCTTAAACGAAGATCGCAAATTTTGAGAGCTGGAGAACAAAAGTGAAAAAAAAATTTTAAAATTTGATTTTGCATTTCATTTTGTGCAAAAGATGGTTCTAATTAATTTACTTCATCATACGAAATTTCATGTCCTAATTTACATAGCCATTTTACTAACCCTAGTAACACGTGTTTAAAGCATCGATAGTGGCTGTTTGTTACGTTATAGATTAAATTTAGTAAAGAGGAATTGCCAAAATTTTATTTTGGCAATTCCTCTTTACTAACTCTAGCACAAAATTTTTTCGCACATAGTCGAAGAGCAAACGCATAACTGCATCTTCTGTTAAAATAAAAGAAGTATTTCAGGGTCTTGTATAGTCAAGGTAACAAGAACAATGGTAATATAACTCTAGGGAAATTATGATTTGCCATTCTGTGCCTGATATACTAGCCATGAGTCGTGTGATGTCAGCTTTTTTTACAGCATTTTCTTTTAATATGTTTGCAGCACTTTCCGATAAGCATTTTGTAAGTGTTTCACATCCGTTCCTATCTTTCTAAGTCTTTTTGCAATATACATTCTTTATCCGCAATAATTTTTCTTGAAAAAGGGAAAAAAGTAGTACATAAAACATTTAAAATGTGAAAACTGAGGGTAATTTTCTTTGCTCTGCATTTCCTACCCAAAGGTTTTTTAATTTACCTGATTTATCTATTTTCCGAGATTATGGGATGAGGATTCATTATCCTTACCTACTCTCTCGTTGACTTTTTCTGCTCTATTTTTCCGATGTTGTAGAATGTTTAATGTTTTTATATTCACATACTTATCGTAACATCTTTGACGAAACAAGAGAGTTGTTATGCAGTATATGATTTTAAAGTCATTTCGAATTTGACTAAAGTAAAAAAAAAAATTATTATTAAATCCATGCTATTTATTGCTTTTTCTGTACCATTTTTTTTTTCAATTTATTTCTTTATAAACTGTAGCAGTTTATAAAGAAACAAATTGTGTTGGACATTAAGTTTGAAACCTACTAAGCATTCTTCACTTTCACTAACACATTTTCAGTAAAACCACGCAGTTTGTTATTATTATAACCATCTTCTCCTTGATGAAATATGCAAGCAATCGTAATTTCTTATTTAAGAACTAGATTAATATGCTGCGTTTTTTTTTTTTTGCTACTCGTCATTATTTAATTAATAATAATAAACAAATAAAAATAAACAAAAAACACGCTTTTTTAGAATCCAGTTTTTGAAAAGTAAACATTTTTAACGTAAACAAAGAAGGGAACAGTTTTTCTTTTTTAGATTTATTAAATTAAAACTTTTTTATAATTTAATACAATATTAAGAAGCAGTTGTGAACAAATTTATTTTGAAATATGGTTTGCGAAAATTGATTACATAGAATTGAGTAATTATATATAAAACATTTAATTTTACAAATCGGTGACCCTCTTTTAATAACTTAAAAAAACTAAATTAATGCTTTGCGGTATTCGATTTATGAGCAACAAGACGGATATTTTATTCTTGAAATCCTTACAATGATTTGCATCTATTTTTGTCTAAAGGTATAAGCAGTTTCCAAGTGCCACGTAAAGACTTTTAAATTTCTAAAGTTATAGGGAACAAATCTGTACAAAAATTAGAATGTCCACTCAAAACGTTTAGTTTTCCTTTTTTTTTTTTTTTTTTACATGTAGCGACCAGACTAAATATCTTCTTCTCCTTCATAGCTAAATTGTTTTCGGTGACGTCGACGACAAACACTAATTTCAGCAGGGAAATCCGATTCCGTTTCAACTGCTTTATAAATTTCAATAGAAATATTCAAATAATTTTCGAAACATTTATTTTTTCTAATGCTTTTGAAAAACTTTAAAACTTCTATAATGATTCAGCACATGAACTGATATTCTGATACACAGAAGCATTTATATATTGCTGATACAGTACTAAAAAAATCCACCGTTGGAAACGATACTTTAGCTGGATCATTAATCGCCAAATTTAATGTATGCGCGTTGCATGGCATAAACAAAGCTCGTGGATAATTGTCCAAAATTCGTTTTTGCAATCCAATATGTTTTCCGGACATATTAGACCCATTGTCGTATCCCTACCCCTTCATGTAGTTAATATTTAGTTCAAGATTTAGTTTAATTTTTGAATTAAGAAATCATAAAAAGATTCTCCAGTACTTTTTTCAACTTGATAAAAGCCATAATTTTATTTTTTTTAGTATGTACATATCTGAAAATCATTGTATCCCAGTGGGCACACGACGGAAAAAAGACGTCTTACGTACGTTCAGTTCACGTCCGCTCGATTTATTCACAATATGAACTATAATAAGACGTCTTATGAACGTCTTTTTCTCGTCCGTTCCGAAAATAAGAAAATTTATCACTTTCAGTTTTGAAAAACCTTTTTATTATGTCTAATGACGCGAAATGTCATTACTGAAATTATTAAAAGGTGTTTTAGTAATGGCGCCATTATTAAAAGGTGTTTTAATAATGGCAATTCTCGTATGAAGAGGTTCCAATTACTTTTTAGATAATTGTTAGATAACATATGTGTTTTATATTTATATATGTATTTAGACAAATAAAATATACAAAGATTGATTATATAGTAAAGAAAAACTATATATAACTTTATATGACATATACTGTGTCGTGACATGTTTTTTTTTTACTTTATGTCATTAAATTTTCTTTATTTTTATATATTTTATATTTTTTATGTCATATTAGATATATATAAAAATAATGAAATTTAGATTGATTAACTAATCTTTTTATTATATTACTGTATGAGTATAAAATCCTATTTTACTTACTGTCATTTATATTTTAAGTATTATAGTTTTTTTTTAAAACGTAATACTTAAAATATAAATGTCAGTAAATAAAATTATAAAACTAAGATTTTATACTCGTACAGTAATAATATAATAAAAATCAGTCAATAAATCTAAATTTTCATTATTTTTATATATATGTAATTTTATTTTCTTTGAAGTTAACAGTCAATAATCTAATCCCTGTTACAATATTATAGATGCATGTAACTATATTATATATCATAATATGATATATATGACAATATGATATATATGAATCGATTCATATATAATATAGTAACATACATATATAATATTATATTATATAATTTTTTTTACTGTTATATCTTGTTACTATATTATATAGTAACAAGATATAACAATAAAAAAAATTATATGTGTACTACTAATAATAATCGAAAGTACTTTGAGTTACAGGAAAGTTCGAGTTATCTGAGGTTTGAGATATTGGGAGTTTACTGTATCCTTATGATTATTATTTTTACATTTCATCTACATAGAATTTTGAATTTTATGCTGAAAGTTGCACTTTTTTATATATATATATATTTTAAATTTTAATTTATTATACTTTTGCAACATTTAATAAAAATATGTATGATAAAGCTTTATTAATATATCAATGATTTAACATTTAGTGCGCAAAAAAATTAAATAATACACTTATTAATGTTAGAATATGATTGTTTTATATTTTAATGGTGAAAAAATCAAAATTTTACATGATATTTTTAGTAGAAAATTTTATAAGGATTTCTTGAAAAAATAATGACAAAATTGATAGTTTTTCGTAAATTCAAATGTTATAACTTTTCCAATTCTTATCAAAATGTATACAATTTGGCTTCAGTTATCAAATGTTGGTGGTAATTTTAGTTATGCCACTGTGAAAGCGTTGATTGTTAAGTATGTGTTTACTTTTTGTATTTTGTTTTGCTATGCAAATAATTTTTAATAATAATTACTTAATTATTAACTAATAAGTTTTGTTTTGTTAAATTATTTATTATGGTTATTGTTTATCTGTATACATTACACTATAAAGTATATGTAAATGCATGTGCAATAGCATAGATTGTATTTTTTTATGTATTCACATAAGACATTTTCAAGCACATTGTCCAATCTGCAAACTTAATTATTTTTATCCTTATGTCGAATGACAACTTATCTTGGTACTGGTACCATGTAGTACATCCTGCCTAAGCAGGTTGTACGCCATCCATACGACATTTAGGCATCTGTTTGTAAAATATTGCTGCAAATCTTTTTGAGAGAGCCATTACTATGGAGAACCATCTAAACCATACAAGTGTGGAAACATGGATGTAAATCTATGTAAACGCATTTGTGATATATAATTGTAGAATGTTATATGTTATAAGTTTGGAAATTATATTCTGCTAAAAAAAACTTTTTAAATGTATTTTAGCAGAACATACCTGGCCCGCATTTGATCATGAAAAACTTTCTTTTTGGACCAAATGCTGGCTGGGTAATTTGGACTTGTAAATGAACTTATATCATTTTTAAACTGCTTATGATCTGATCTGATTTTATTTTTGTCATTTGTTTATTTAGATTAATGTGAAATAAACTGATGAGTTTATTTAACTTAGCTGGTAAAAAAAAGAGTTTTCGTGAAACAAATTTAATGAAAACAGTTATAGGTATACCTGTTAATGTAATATATTTTGTATTGTATTTTGTATGTATAGTTTTGACGAACTTTTAAATACTGCAAACTCACACTCGCACGAAAAACAACTGTGAACTCTTATTTAATCAGTTGCAAAAGTTGACTTTGAAAATTTTGTATAAGATATTATAGCTTATTTATTAGACTGTGTTTTTAGAATGAAGTTCATTCATTTGCTGGCAACATTTTTAAACGTGGTCTAGATCAAAAAAATTTGGTGCCAGAAATAGTCGATAGTGGAAGTGATAGATGCATCGAACCTAATTTGTAATTAATTTCTGTAAATAAATTTCACTTTACTAATTTTTGTGTTGAATTCTTGTTTTTCTAATGGTATTTGAAATTAATAAGTCTAAAAATTAACGTATAAAAAAATACGCACCAAATAAGACCTATTTATGGCATTCCATACATAATGTTTTTCATTAATTCTAAACTGTAACTTAAACTAAACTCAATTTCTTAGTCCTATCGGGACGTCTTTTTTATGTTCCTCGTAAGACGTCTTTTTTACGTTCCTCTCAGGACGTCTTTTTCACGTTCTTTCTGGGACGTCTTTAAAACGTTCCACGCAGGACGTCTTTCTGTATTTCCAAATCCAACCAATTTAAGACGTCCGATCGGGACGTCCTAAAGCCGTCTGTGTGCCCACTGGGATATTGCTCGACATGTCCAGCATCCATCGTACATTCTAAAATGACTGAAAAATATTTTGCTTCTTTTATTTATATTAATATATACTATAAAATTTGATTTGCAAGGATAATGATTATTTCATTTTGAAACCGATTTCCCAAGTAATGTGGCATGTGGTTCTTTAAAGCAATTGATTTTTGTATGTGTTTTATGTGGTATGCCATTATATCATTAAATTTTCTTATCATTTCAATTGCTTTAAAAAAATTATTTTTTTCGTACAATTTGCTGAAAGAACCTCAAAACTAAACACTATCCTGCTAGAAATTGTATCAAAGATATCATGCGTGCGACAACTTGATACCATCGTTTTTTCTCATCATCATAATACCGTTGCATATTATTATCAATTGTATTTTTTCTTTTTAAATTTAATTCCAATTCTTTCCGACGAGTACAGTTTTTGATGTGTATCGATATTTTTTTGTGACGAGATAAGTTTTCAGATGTGTGGTGTCAATCGTTAAAGTCTTCATTAACTAATTTTATTTGTTGTTTGCCAAATATTTACAACAGAAACAATATATGGCATTATTTTTCTGAGAATAGATTAACCACTCACGTTTAAATTTTTCACCATTTGGCATTTTTCTATAGAAACAAACCTTTGAAAAAGATCTTCCCAATTTATTTTCTGGATATGTAGAATGTATATTTTGAATCGAAACTTTTTCGATTAAAATATGCACCATTTTATTGGTGAGCGTTATAGACCAGCAAGCTGGATCATTTAGTTCCTGACACATTGCAGAATATGCTTCATCAATTTTAGTGATATCATCGATATTTGCAACTGTAATATTGTCAGTAGCATTTGTATTTGTATTTATAGGCTACTGCAAGCATTTCCCATGATATCGTCGATATTTTTAACTGTATTATCACCTATTTTATTGTTACTAATAATATTTTCATTTGTATTTTCTGCTAATAATTCATTTTCATTTTTATCAGAAGAAATTTCACTACTTAAATTTGTTTGGCTACTACAAGCATTTTCCGTTTCTGATGGTTTTGCTTTTTCCAAATATTTTGTTAGTGAACCAAAGATTTTTTTGCTTCATTTTGTTTTTCTTCTCGCTTTCTTTTATACTATGCT